AGATGCTGCACGCCCCTGCGTGTAAAATTGTGGTGGAAAAGGTGGTAGTGGTGAACCCTTGGCCCAGGGGTTGACACACACACACACACTTTTACATTGCACACTGTACGTGGTACAATTCAGTTGCAGTTTGAACAGTCTTGTCAAGACTGCAGTGACTTATACAGTATATATAATATAGATTTATAGTGCACATATTGTTGTTCTTTTTTACTGCTACATGCACATATTTGCAATGCTTTACCATGCTTTGCAATGTTTTATGTGGGGCACACCTGCACCCGGTAAATGTTGTGTTTCACATGATAAATACAAAGCAAAGATTGAAACTATGTGTATGAATATGTATTGGAACTACACCACATGCATGGTTTTAATTTATGATGCGGTGCTTTGTTTCTCCAAGCGCATTATTTGGTGTAATGATTTGGCTAGTCACTGTATGTGCCCAAGAGAGAGTGCAAACCATAAGCAGTTCCCGACCTTGTAATGGTGAAATTGCTTGACGCTGGTGTATAGATTCCTGAGTGCAATGGTGTATGCTGCAAGAAACAGTTAGGCCATGAAACATAATCCAGGCTTCGTACGGCCACACAACCCGGCCAGTTGATTTAGAAGACAACCAATACTATTCTTAGCATCTGACAAATTTCGCAGCAATGCTTCATCAGAACGAAAGAACTTAAACCAAACCCTTGAGACATCACAAGGAACACTGCAAAACACGCGCCCTCATGGTATGCCTCTTTGTTTTGGCACAGGCATGCCATGCGTGAGTGATTGACAGGATGCATGAGTTGGAGATGTGGTTCTCGGGAAAGACATTTCATCCCTTTGCTGTGCCCTTTGCACTTCTCCTACAGCGTTTCTCTGCAGATAGCCAGATCATTGATCCTGTGGCTTGGCAGCTCTGGGAGTCATCTCTGTACTTCCTGTGCATGTCAATTCAATACAGCCAGACATTACTCAAGACTTGATACATAGACAGATTCTTGACCAAGGGTTTCAGTCAAGATGGAGTGATCGGATCAAATTACTGATCTTTGCACCCAGGATAGCTACAATGACGATAGCAGGAAGTTCAAGCTATCACACCAGAAGCCTGTGGAAGAGCCCCTGGAATCCTTTGCTGTACAGGACAATGCTTTCCTCAATCGCAGCGAAGTGGTGATCGCACGGGAGGTGTTTCAGTGCCTTGCCTCGCTGAGAGGTGGTCCAGGAGCCCCTAGAAGCATCCTTGCTCCTAGTAGTAAGGCCAGGAG